GCCAAGTCCATGGGCCAGGGTGTGGATAGGCTGAGGGAACCTGAGAGGGACAGGAGCTTCAGTGGCCTGGTCTCTGAGCCCACGAGGCTGCCTTCCAGCAAGAGAGTTTGGAACTCGATCTGGGTCTCCCTCCTTCCCTTCCGCAAACCTCTTGCCCCAAGTGGTCCATGTACAGCTATGCCTTATCCCCATCTACCTGCACCTCTCCTGACCTTAAGGGAGCTGTGAAAAGCCAGGCCTGCTGGCACAGGCCTGTAAACTCAGCACTCCAGGAGGCCAAAGCAGCAGAATTACAAGTTTGAGACTAGCCTAGGCAATTTAGCAACTTAATGAGACTACCTAAAAAGAAAAAGAAAACAATGACTGGGGGTGTAAGTCAGTGTGAAGGCCCTGGGTTTAATCTCCAGTGAGAGAGGGAGAGAGGAGAAGAGGAAATGAGCTGGGCATGATGGGGCACGCCTGTTATCCCAGCACTTGGGAGGCTGAGGCAGGAGGATCGTCATGAGTTCGAGGCCAGCCTAGACTACATAGTGAGTCCAAGGCCAGCCTGAGCTACATAGTAAGACCCTGTCATAAAGAGAAAGGGGAGGGGGGAGGTTGTCTCCCATTTTCACCTTAGAACTCTTCAAGTAGTTTCCTCAAACCCAGATTCTGGCTTTCAGCATACTCACCCTTCGGGCCTCTCAAACGACCTGTTGTGTGTTGGTTAGTTTCTGTAGACAGTGGGCTTATGCTTGCGTGTGGGATGGTGTGGCGAGCAGGTGGGAATTTGTAAGGAAGCTAATAAAGAGTTGGGCAAAAAACTTCAATCTGAGCTTGGTTATCTCATCCTCACATGGGAGATCAGAGTACTGCCTCCACAAGGCTACTTTGAGGGTTAAATGAGATAATGTCTCTCAAAGCCCAAACTCACAGGAGCTCAGTTTTGAAGCAGATCCGTACCACAGAAAGTATATGGCTTTGTCTGCTACATGATATTTCACCTCAGGTGAGGCATTTCCCCTCTCTGGGCTTGACTTTTCTCATCTACAAAAGAGGAATGTTAAAAAAAAGGAATTTCTAAGCCAAGCATGGTGGTGTACACTTATAATCCCAGCACTGTGGGAAGCTCAGGCAAGTGGATTGCAAGTTTGAGCCCAGCCCGGCAATTTAGATCTTTTCTCAAAATCAGTATAAAAGGGCTAAAGATGTAGTTCAGAACAAAGGCCCTGGGTTTAATTCCCAGTTCTGAAAAAAAATTTTTTTAAATTTAAAAAGGGGGACATGTTAGTGTCTACCCTTACAGCTGCTATAAGAAATAGAGATAATTCACAAAAAGTGCTTAATAAAGGCCTGGCATAAGAACAATACTCAAGAAGTTTTATTTCCCATTTACCACTGAAGCTGTGTGACTCTGAGCAGACACTTAACCTCTCTGTGCTTATATTCCATGTACTGTAATGGAAATTGAAGCTATCTTGAGGAATGTCTGTGATAATTAAAGTTACTATATGTGGAGTGCTTTGAAGAGTGCCAGGCAAATAGAGAGTGCTACAAACAAGCTCACTGGTATTCTCACTAATAGCAACATCAGTATATGTATTATTACAATTATTGACAATTGGGCTCGGTGAAAGCCTTCATCTCTGTCTGCTTAAAAGAGCCACAACCTAATAGAGCCACCCATCACAGACCCTCCAAAGCTGTGTGACCATGGGCAACGTACCTCCCCTTTCTGAGCCTGCTTTTATTTCTCCACACGAGGCAGTGTCAGTGTCAATAACAGTACTTCAAGGTCCTCAGGCTGCATTAATGAGGGATGACCTCTGAGAATCTTCTAGTTCCCAGCTAAGTGAGACCTTGTCCCGACAGACATCCAGCTGGCTGCGGCACCCAGCCTTCCCTCCCACTCGCGCTCGGATTCCCTCCAGCCGGCCCGAGGGCGGGGGCAGGCAGGGGGCTGTGGCCGAACCGGCTGCCAGGCCCTATTTCTGGGGGCCAAGCGATCCCGAGGCCCTGCCAAGCTTCCCCGGGGATCGGGTTTCTGCTGACGCGGTGCCAGGCACGTCTGCTTCCAGGAACCAGCAGCCGCATTTAGCCGCGGGCCGCACATGAAAGGACTGCAGTCGGAAACGTGACGTTGTGTCAACAGGCGAGGCAGGTCAGCGCTGGGTGAGACCATCCCGGCGAGCCGGCAATCACGCCCCGTCTGAAGGCCGCCAGGTCCCAGGCCTCCGCTCTGCCTCCGGCCACCTCTCCTTGGCCCTGGAGCCAGTGCTTCAGCCTCGGGCTCACACACGCCCCTTTTAAACAGAGGTCCTCTTTGTCCCCCCGCACCTCCCCGAGAGTGCACTCGGATCTTGCAGAAAATGGGCTAGAAGCAAGGTCAAGGGCACCCTGGAGGCAGGAGACAGACAGCTGCAACTCTGCGGGGCTGGAATGGGGCAGACTCCAGCAGGGGGATTCTGAGTTGACTATGTGTGGAACCCTCTGATCTTTTTTTAGTTCAGGTTGGTCCAACAATTTCCTGCTGTCCCCACTGCTATTCCTTGAGTCATGGCCTATAGAAGAGAAAGGGACATGATTTCAATCTTCAATCCCCTGCCCTGCCACTCCCAGGTTCTATCACCAGGAAAGTCTAGCTAGAAAGGTCTGGCAACTCCGGGATGGATCCAGGGGCTCAGCAGGCTGACTGGCAAGTACAAGCCCTCAGGAGCCAGCACAAGGCAGGACTTGCAGAATTTGCCATTTGCCATTTGCCTGCTCTACATAAGGGAGAAGGGCTTATGTGGAGAGGGCAGTGATATACCGCCAGGCTCCACTCCTGGTCCCCTCCGTTTTGGCTCCTTCCACAGCACCGGTGGCCTGGGACAATTGTGCCTTTTCATCTAGCAGCAGTGAGGGAGTGCTCACTCTGGCTGCTGGGCCATCAGGAGACAAGGAAGGTGACATTTGAAGCATAAAATCCTAACAAGCAGGTGGTGTCTCTGCCTGAGAATTCCCTGGGGGTGGCTTCCCTGCAGGGGATCCAAACAACCAAGAGAGTTCTGGAAGATTCAGGATGCTCTGAGCCTGACGCCAGACAGTGGCCACCAGGAAAGGGAGCATTTGACAGAAATGCTGCAAATCAAGGTGCCAGGAGAAGCAAAAATACTTGACCAGGTCATTTCCCACTTCTTTTCTCATGGAATTTTTTTTTTTTTTTTAATAAGAGCATTTGACTAAAGAACACCAATATTCATTCACACACAAACACACCCAAGGAGAGGAAGTCCAGGAAGGATATAGAAAATAATTATGGAATGTTGCCTCCAGCACTAGTTAAGACAGAACATGGCAAATCCATTGGAACTTGGTAGATTAGAAAAAGCCAGCCTACTTTGGCAAAGAAGTGTTATCCCCAGTAACAATTATTAGTGCCTAATAATCTACTCCATCTTTTCACAATATGCATATCCCTGCAGTAAGTTCCCCAGACGCTCTGCCCACGATTTATCTTGGTTTTTGTCAGCTTCTAAAGATCATGACTGATGTAGGTTGGGCGAAAACTTACTTTTTGCTTAACTCTGGGAAGAAGCATAATAAATGTAAATCCCTGGCAAGAGCTGGTTAAACGAAACCAGTATTTACCTACTAAATTAACTAAGCTTATTTTGATTGATTACAAAGCATACAAAAAGCTGAATGAAATTGCACCACGATTAACTAGTTGTTGCCTTCAGCCAAAAGCAGAGGACAGAGACAGTCACATCACCCAGAAGTTACTTTAAAAATTCAGGAGACCATCTTTCTCTTCCACAGGAAAAGGATTATTTTATTAAGTATTTTAAAACAACTATTTAACATTTACTCATAGATAAAAATATTTACAATTTCACACCTTCAGGAAGGCTCCAAAATATAAACACTGTACCTCTCCCTAGAGAAAAAAATTATTCTTCTCTTCAAAAGCAGGAATACATTCATTTTTTTTCACTTTGTAGATCAAGTAATTATACAAATAAACATCTGAAACATTTTCCTTTTTAATATATTTATATAATATATATTTAAAACAGCTTTACAAATAAAGGCAACGACTTTATACCAAAATAAAAACAGGAAAAGAGGAAGTTAAAACACGATCGGCGATCAAGCATAGTGCATTTTGAAAGCTGGTGCAGGGCTGGCTGGACGAGTCAGGGAAACAAGAACTCTGGATCAAAAATAAAACTTCTTTGAAGGAGACAGAATCCTTTTTAGCAATAAGGACACTCCATATGCTGTCAGGCAGGAGGAATTAGCCTACAGAAGTGATCCTGTGTGCCAAGGCTTGGTTAGGCCTTTGAGAAGCTAAGCTTGTTTAAAAGCTTCTGGATAGAATTTTAAACCGAGTCTCTCTGCCTGAAAGGTAGCAGTTGGTTACATAGCTTTGTGCACTTTGGGGCACTTGAGGCATCTGCATCTCTCAGACCTCATTGGTCCCCTGGACAGCATGTCCTGGTGAGACTATAAACAGGTGCCAGAGGCCCAGGGAACTCCACCCTCCTTCCCTGGCAGCTCAGCTCATACAGAGAGGCCATTTTCGGTTCCTTGGTAAGCTAATCACTAGGAAAGCCTCAGTAGGGAACTACATTCTCTTTATTCATCTGAGGCAGGGGTGGGGAGCAGACCTGAGGAAATCTCCCCAAACCACTACCGTGCCATGCCAGTGTCTGCTACCTCACCACTTTAGCAGAAAGCTTTGTCTGACTGCTCTCTCCTCGTTGTCTGGTGAGTCACGTCCACCATAAAGGGAGCAGGGTGGGGTCCTAACAGCTGGCTGGAAGCTGTGCTCTGGAAAACCATCTTTTCAAAGTACCTTTTTCTCAAAGCCACAGACCCAGCTCCCAAACTGAAGAGTGACTCACAGACTAAGACTCTGAAGCTTTTGAGAATCCAGCTGATTTGCATCAAAGGGGGCTATTCTCTGGGAAGGGCCCAGAGATCTGCTACAAGCCTCCCCAAATCTCCTGATTTCAAGCACTCCTTCGAGACTTCCATACACCAAAAGGAGCTTTAATGTCCAACACAAACACATAGGCACACACACATACACACATTTGCACGCACACAACCTGCATTTTCTCTCCGTGCCTTAGATTATCTTGGTATTCACAATCTCGCTGCACTCACAAAAACATTTGTGTTTTTGGAAGTAGGGAAGAAGGAAAGCAAAGCGGCAGGATGCCCTAAAAGAGTTTAGTCTTTGGTTTCTAAGCTTAAAGGGGGGATCTGCTTCAGAGCTTGGAGCAAGGCGGAAGAGTCGAGGGATGGATGGGCTGACAAGGGAGAAGGGAGTCTCTGGGGCATGAGCAGGGGAGCAGAGATCTTGTCTGGGTTCATGAAGCTGCTGAGGGCTGCAGCAGAGGCATTGAGGCCTGGGTACAACACCGGCACAGAGGTGGGATACCAGCACTTCTCCAGCATGGGCAGGTAGGCAGTCGCTGAAGGCGGGATCAGATAGAAGGGCAGGCAAAAGGGAGGCTGGTGTGGGTGTGGGCCCAGGAATGGGGAGCTGATCAGGTCACTGCTAGTAAAATGCCCTTCATCATCTGAGAGCTGCATTCGGCTCTTTTTGGTGGGGGGTTCTTCGGACTCCTGCTTAATTGTGCTGACCTGTTCTCCCATGGTGAACCTACGTCCATGATCACTTTTGAAATATGGCTGTTCACTTCGCAAGTCACCCTTCTCTGATTCTCCTCCATAGCCACTGTCTGTGTCCGTGTCACTGCCGCTCTGCTCCCCACTGGAGGGAGCGAAAGTCCTCTGGATGACTGGCACACAGTTTTTCCCAGGGCCTTCCGAGCCTTTGGCCAGGGAGCTGGGTTTCTCCTTAAAGTCCATCACTTTGGGGGATGGGTCTGATGGTTTCCTGGAAGTACCACCCTGCAGCAGTTCAGAGACCACACGGTGGAGGTGCATGACAAGCTGTGAAGACTTCAGGTCCCGGGTGTTCTCGTGCTTTGCCAGGTACTGAAGCACCTCCCGGGCACAGGTCTGGAACCCTGAGCAAAACATTTCTTGATTTGCTTCAACGTTTCTCCCGGACAGCTCACCTGGAGATACACAGACCCAAAGGAAGACACTTCAGATGGCCCCATGGTGTATCTGCATACCTATACTCCAAATATTGGAGTCTTCCCTTTTTGTTAAAAAACATTTGCCAATGTGCATTTTTTTTCTCGGTACCGGGGATGGAACTCAGGATCTTGTGCTTGTGAGGCAGGTGCGGCGCCACTGAGCCTAAATCCCCAGCCCCCAGTTTGCATTTCTAACTCTAAAAGTAACAACTTAAAATTGTAAAGAATAAAACATAATCTATAATTCTACTGGGGATTTTTTTTTTTTTGGTACTGGGGATTGAACTCGGGACCTTCTGCTTTCGAGGCAGGCAGCAGAACCACTGAGCTAAATCCCTGGCCCACCAGAGATTTTTTTTTTTGGTGCTAGGAATTGAACACAGGGTCTGGCACCTGCTATGTACATGCTCTACCACTGATCCTAAACCCCGGCCCCTAAATAGGATTTTTATTTATTGGTACAGGTGATTGAACTTGGGACCTTGAGCTTGCAAAGCAGGCAACAGCACCACTGAGCTAAATCCCCAGTCCCCTAAATATGATTTTTAATGAATGGCCACATAATAATATCCCATAATTAGTAGAGATGTACTACTTCTGTTCTTGTTAAATTTTTAGATTGTTCCTGACTTTTCATTGTATGTGACATAGCAATGAACATTCTGTTATGTTTATAAGCCCAAGAGGCAATTTAAAGAACATCAATCTCACCATGGCAAGATGAACAAGGTCAGGCAGTCATAAAATGAAATAAAGGAGGAACAATTATGACCTAAAGTAAGCTCATTTTCAGTGACTTATAAAAGTTGCAGCCCCCCATAAACTTTAATTAGACTAAGTCTTCTCCATGTATTCTATCCAAGATCCTCAAGAAATTAGGTTTGATCATTTTCTTATTTTTAGTGAGGAGACTGGCCGAAGTACTTGCTAGGTTTTTGTGATTCCTATCACACTGGCCTGGGAAAGGAACAAAAAGAATGGATGAGGGAGTGGGCAGAAATCTCCACAAACTGTGCAATATTATTCGGAAGGGGTGAGAGTGGAAGGTTAGAAGGTGACTCTGATTCTCTGGAAGTCAGTAGAAATAAAATGATGAAACTTCAGTGGCTTCATTAGATTGTGCAATTCACCAAGATACCTAATGGCTATTCAGGGAACCACAGGAAATGCAGGAAAAATTCCCGCTGTCATCCTGCCAAGATCGCACCCCACTGTGAGTGATAAGGAAGCAAAGAAACAGGAAAACACTGGGGACATACCCACAATATATTATTCTCTGATGAGAAAGGGCTAAGAGACCAACTGTAAAACACCCACACTGCAAATTATAGGTGCCTTGGCATTTTAAAGGAGAGTGGGGGAAATCTCCCAGAACCCAGAGACTCTGAAGCCAAAATGCCACTGAAACATTCTATCTCAATACGTATTCATGCCAGGTGGCACACAGCAGCATTCTAAATGGAAAGTCTGACCTTTTGGAAAGATAAAATGCATCTTCCCCTGTGAACGTGGTGCACAAGCAATTGGCTGCAGGAATGTTTCTCACATCCAATGTTGAGCCCAGGAGCTCTCTGTTTGCACGGAACTCTTAAGAGATGCTAGTCAGACTCAGCACTCACCAGTTTGTAAACCACTCTGCAGGGCAATGATTTTCTGTTGCTGCTGATCAATTAGGTTTGTTAGTGCTTTCACATGCTTCAAGGTAAGTTCAAGAACCACTGCTTTTTCCAAATGACCCAAAGTCTGAAATAAAAAAAGCCTTAATCAGTGGTGAGGTCACAGGTCAGGATGTTCCCACCTCTGGGACACACTTATCAGCACTATGAGAAAGGTCTGTAAGGACACACACACATGCACACACATGGAATAGTCTTTCATGGTTGGCTAAATTTAAAGTTTGCAGATCACGTTTGTTTTCTTCTTTCTCTAAAGATCATTTTAAAAAATACATATACATACATAAGGGCCGGGGATTTAGCTCAGTGGTTTCACCGCCGGCTGCACAAGCGCAAGGACCTGAGTTTGGTCCCCGGCACCAAAAAACAAAAAAAACCATATATACAATTAAGGAATAAAAAACATGTGGCTTCTATCTTTGGAGGCATTTTGGAAGCTGCAACTACCTCAGGAGAAAGCTTTGACAGATAAATTTCTCTAGCAGCCGCTGCTGACCTTAACTCTGGGGAATCCAGAGATAACATTTCTCTGCAGTGCTGTCAATCCAAGGAGGGACTTCTACTGTGTCTGGCAGCAAAGAGGCTTTCCCTAGCTTTTTTTCCTGACCTTTCAAAACTTGCAGCTCATCCAAGCTTTTTTCCTCCTCTCCAAATATATTTTTTTTCCTTTTCCCAACCAAAGGCCGCCAAGCTAGAAAGCTCTTGGCTACTGTCAAGAAAGGACAGGATGGAAAAAAAGTCACACACCAAAGTAAAAAAAGGAGGTGAGGAAGTGGGGAAATATATTCAGCAGGTTGTTTGGCTTGCTCATTTAAATCAGGAAAACTAGAGAACCCTGAAAATCATTAGAAAAGAAAGATTTAAACTCCTGAAAAGGAATACCTGCTGACGTTGGAGCCAATTTGGAGAGGTCTAAAAGGCTCTCACCTCATGTACTTGAGGCTGCCAGAAAATCCCAGGACCGGGGAAGGGTACTCCAACACCTAGCCAAACCGCCAGTTCCGATCTGGTCATCTAGTCTGCAGTTCCCCGTGGCGCCTGTAGGCGGCGACTGACACCCCACCCCCACCCGTCGCCGCCGCCCGCCCGCCCTTTGGACAGAGCAGCGGGGTTGGAGAGGGGCCAGCTTCTCACTTACAGTAAGTTTGAGATGTTCGGGTAGGAGATCCTTCAGCTGGGCGATGCACTCGTTAATCCGGTCACGTCTCTTTTTCTCGATGAGCCGGTGCGGCAATTTGTAGGTTTCCTGCAAGGCGCACGGGGAAGCGATGGGTGCCTGGGGAAGGGGATGTGAAGCTAACCCCCTTTCGGCTCCAAGGCATGAGAAAGTCGGACGAGGAAGGAGAGTTGCATCCAAAGCCACCTTCAGCCCCCTTTCCCCCAAACCTCTTAATAGTAGCACCGAGCCCACATCTTGCATCCCCCTCGCCAACCACAAAGCGAGAAAACTTTTCTTGGAAACTCAGCTCACAAGGGGCTGAGGTCCGGGGGGTCCTCAGAGGTGCGCTTACCTTACTGTCCTCGCTCCGCTTTATTCCTCGCCTCGACTTGTACACTTGGTACATGTGGGCAAAATCCATCCTGCAGGGAGAGGAGCCAGAAGGGTCGTGACTTTGCGTGCGTACTGGCTGCAGGCGCCCTATCAGGCAAGAACCCCCAGATGCGCCCAGCGCTGCTCCAACTTGAGAGCGGCACAGAACACAGGGCTAGAGTGGAGGCTTGAAGGAGCCAGAGAGTGCCAACTTACCCTGGTAGGTCTCCGTGCTCCAGCACTGGCGCTTTGGGCAGGCAGGCAGGGGGTGGTTGAGCGCTGGGGATCCGCTCCATGGCACTGCGAGCCAGGGCCACTGCGCACTCCTGTCTGCACTAGGAGAGCGTCGAGGTGACGGACTGTCCTAGAGGGGCTTCGAGGGTCTCTCTGCAGAGGTTTCCTCTGAGTCTGAGCTCCCTGAAATGCGCTGTGCTGCTGGGAACTGTGGCTTTGAGGTGTTGCTTCAGTTGGGGGCGTGCATGGCCCGGTGTCCCCGCGGCCTCTGGCTCTGCGCACAGACTGGTGGTGTGTGCTCCCTGCGCTGTCTGCGCCTTGCGAGCCAAGTGAATGAGAAGTGGGGCGGGCGGGGGTGAGGGAGGGAAGGGGGGGCCGTTAAGGCGGGGTGTGCGGGGCGGGGGGAGCCGAGGAGTAATGGAGAGGCTGCGGGCTGGGTTAAATGGGAGCGTGTGGGTGGGTTGGAGCTACGTGTTCCACCCTGTGACTCCAGGCACGTCTGGCCGCTGCCGGGGAGGGAAGGAGCGACCTGCCCGCCCTCCCCCTGCTTCATCACATGAGTCTCACGTGTTGGACAACGCTCCGGCAGCTGCGAGGGAGCCCCCACCCCCAACCTCGGCCCCCAGGTGTCTGTGGCTGCGGCCTCCTTTCCCCGAAAGAGGGGGTGGCAGCGCGGCCTGAGTCTTGCCCAGCTGGGTGGGGGGCGCGGAAGCTGGAAGGAACCGGAGAAGGGGGGGGGGGCGGATGGGGAGAGGTGGTAACGTGGGCGAACCTGCCCCAGGGAAATGAAGTAAGTTCCCGTCTCCTGGGAGGGACCGGGGGAGGACGGATCCGCCTGCGTCTGACTCAAGCCGGGAGAGGAATATCCCCTCGCTCGCTCCAGCCCAGCCCTCTTCCTCCTTCCCCGCCCAGCCCGCTCAGAGGAGCCGGCTCGCAGCGGAGAATCGCGGGCCCCCTGCCTTCCCCGTTGTTGGGGTTTCTTTCTGTCCCGGCTTCCCTGCCCCCACGGCTCTGCCCCGCGTCCAGGAATTGCCCGCCTTGGGGAGGGACCGAGGGGCGGGGCGGATGTCACCCCATGGGAAGCCGGCGGGCGGCCAAGCACCAGGGCAGCCGAGGCCGCAGCAAAGCACGCTGCGCGCACCTGACCGCGGAGGGTGTCAGCCACAGGCCCTTGCTCTCCCGGAGCTCCGCTCCCGGGCACTGCCTTCGGGCGGGTACTCCCCCCCGCCCCCGTGTCCCACTGCCTCCACCCAAGCACAGAAAAATACCGGGCTCAGTGCCCGCGTTCCCTCCCTGTTCTGCCCCCTCCGGAGCAGAGGCGTCCGGGTCGCCTCCCCTCCGGCTGGCTGCAGCGTTACACAACCGCGGCGGCGGTGCCGCCTGCCCTGCAGCAGCGTGAGGCGTGACGCTTCACGTGGCTGGGCTTGAGCCACAGCACCGCGGACTGAGAGCCCCTGCATGTAGGCCGGGGCTGGGACCCCAGGTGTCGTGCGGCCCCGACTTCTGCCACGGGTCCCCTTGGCGGCGCTACACGCTCAGCGGGAGGGCACAGAAAAGACCAGAAAGAAAAAAGTTCTATGCCTATCGTAGTGAAATCTTAGCATTCACTCAGTGGACACACATTTGTTGAGCCCCTCACTCTGGTAGGCCAGGTGTCTGTCGCTAGAGACAGTGGTGGGTCAAACACCGACCCTGCCCTTGAACTTCCAGGAACCTCTGGGAAGGACAGATTGGGCAACGAGGAAGGCAGCCCTGGAAACATATATCGGGGCCACGGGCTGGCAGAGGAAAAAAGAGGAGTTCTTGTTTTTTAAATGTAATACTAACCAGGCTTAGGTGGAGGACCAGAGGGAAGAAGTTAACCTGCTGCCCCTAGCCTGGGGCAGAAACTTTTCCTCCAGTGGCTGCAATCTCCCTTAGGCCGCCGGAGGCCCCCTTCCCCGGAAAAGTCCGGCGTCAATGATCTTCTAACTCAGGCTGGAGCAGGGAAACAGCTGAAACTCCAGTCCTGCGATGTGAGCAGCGCTGATACAGTCAGAGGAGCGAGCTAGTGGAAATTCATGACTAAAATAAGGCCTGGCTGGGGATTTCACTGACCTCTGCGCTCCCCTGCCCTGCAAGTTCGGGGAGTTGAGAGATGACTGTAAACCTTTCCCACTGAGCCTGGGTCAGTCACCCCGCTGCTGCTGACTGACCTGGCTGTGGGAAGGATTGAAAAAAATGGGGTCACAGTCACTGCTGGGACTGGGTGAGAATTCGCATCGGGTGCAGTTTAGGGATCAGTATTAACTGGCAGTGTCCTTGACGACTTGGGAATTGGGATTCACACGTTGACCAAACTAGGAGTGTATTTCCTTCAGGTTGCTTTGGAAAGCTTCCATTTCCTGTTTATGTTTCACAAGCGTCAAACCTATTAGCAAGTGTGAGAAATGCCTCCTTTTCTAACTGCTAACTGGAGTGACCTCACTTCTGACTTAGAGATCCCTCCCTCCCAGAATGTACCTTTGTTGGCTTGTTGTCAGCCATCTCTCAGGAGGGTATGAACCCATTCAGGACAGCAACAGGGACATGGGCAGCAGGACCAGAGCTGAAGCAAGGGATGGCACCCCCCACACACATACACACACCGCCATGTGCTTTCAATCTAGGTGACCTACTCCATTGTGCCACTTTAACAGTGGAAGTGTTGTTATGACTGCATCAAAACCACAGTTCCATTAGGAAATAGGCTCTGGGAGAGGAATGTCCTGTCCCACCATCCTATGTCACCTTCCGTGCCCAGACTGAGCCCAGCATTTCTGCTTCGGTGGCTCCTGACAGTATCATTCTTAAAATTCTTTAAGTGTATCACTACTTTTTACTCTTAACTTACCCTGCGGTTGTAAATAACAAAATATGCATTTCTGACGTATTTGTTCCAGCTATACTTTCAAATTTCAAGAACTATCCCCATCCTACCATATCTCGTTTTAGTCTTTATATTTAAAAAAATTTGTTATTTTCTACAATTTACTGCTATTTTCAAAAATATTTCCTTCCCAGCATTTATTTTTCCTTCCTGAATAATCTTATTTTTAATCTATCACCTTTTATAGATACTCATTTAGTATTTACTGTCTACTAGTGTTTAGACCATATACTAAAAATTTCACCTATGTTAATTTATTTACTCCTCACTACCACCTTATAAGGTTGGTATTAGTATTAGCTCAGTTCACTTAACACCTATATTTATTGAAAATCACAATGTACATGCACTGAGCTAGGTCTGAGGGGTATATAATGTATCCCCTTTGGAAAACTGATGCTGTAGAAGGATAAATAGCCTGCTGAGTTTATATAGCCTGGGATTAGATCTGGGAAAATACCCTAGGTGTATGGAACTCCAAATCTTGTGCTCTTAATCATTATACAGTACTTACAGCTGCCTAGCAGGACTCTTGGTTGTATAGTCCTCAACTCCGGGGGGAGCCCTTCACATTGTAGTCTGTGTGAGAGACCCTCTGGCTTTGTACAGTGTAGTACTGAGAAGCACTGGGTAGTCCTGCCATCCTATGACCCTCCCCTCTGTATTGTTTCTTCAAAGTATGGAGAAAACAATTTTGTACAAAATTTTCTGTACAAATTTTGTTTTGTTTCCCTTTCCAACGGGGCTCAGCATCTTGGCAGCCTGAGGTTATGTGTTGGCAAGAGTCTATACTATTACTATTTATAATGATTCCCACTTTTCTTGTGCAGGAAGTTAGACTCCACAGCCCCCTTGCAATATTCACACCTTACTTTCTGGAGATCAGTTTGAGCATGTTTGTGGAGCCTCACATTTTTTTATCACAGCTTACAGTAAGAAATAAATTTTATCGTGATTTGTGAGGTGTGTGTGTGTGCATGCACACACATATCTTAAATACATTATGCATAGGGCAGTGAAAGCTTGGTTGGGTATAGCAATAAGCCATCACTACTTTCTCACTTGTGATTCTGAATAACCATTGCTCACCTAAAAAGAATTAAACTGGGGCCAGGGATTTAGCTCAGTGGTTCCAGTGCCTGCCTCGAAAGCTCAAGGTCCCGAGTTCGATCTCCAGTACCAAAAAAGAAAAAGAAACTGCTTAGGAAGAAGTAAGTCCAATACATTCCAGACAAAAATCTCACATAACAGTGCTTCCCTCTTCATTTATATATTCTGATATATATATTTTTTGTATTCTGATATTTTCTTGTCTACGTTAGTTTCTTTTGTTAGAAGAAAAATATTGACTTACTAAAGTTGATTTCACAAACCACTAATAGACTGATTTACAGTTTAAAAATGTGATTTATGATAGTGTTGTCTTTTGGCCTTGGCCCTACCAGAAAGAGATTAGTAGTTTCTGCACACTTGAAGATCTTTCAAACCAAATATAAAAATGTTAAGTAAGACTGCATCTCCTGATTAGATTCAAAGGCATAGATGTCTGTGTCCAGGAGACCATCTGTTAGTTCCTAGCCTTTGTTCTTTATATACAGTCTCCCTGCTCATTCTCTGCATTTAAAACAACAACAACTGCATGTAATTGTTTTATGAGATAAACGTATAATAAAATACACAGACCATAAATGTTTGGTTCATGAATTTAGAAAAATGTGTACATCTACAGAGTCACTACTTGTTATGGTTTAGATCTTAAGTGTCCCCCAAAGGCTTGTGCTAAATGCTTGGTCACCAGCCCCAGGCACACACTGTTGGGAGGCAGTGGGACCTTTGAGAATCTGGGTTTGCCAGGGATGAGAGGGTAGAAGGGTGGCAATTGCCAGTAAATCCTAGAACTTGAGAGGCTGAGGCAGGAGGATCACCATTCATTTGAGGCCAGCTTGAGGTACATAGTGAGTTGAAATCCTGTCTCAAAAAACCCACAACCCCCAAAAAAGAAAAAAAGAAGCTGGGCCTAGTGAAAGGAAGGGAGGTCATTGGAGGGGTGTTCTTGAAGTGGGTATAGGGACCCCAGTCCTCTCTCTCTCTGGTTCCTGGCTGGCAGGAGGTGAGCGGCTTTGGTCCACCTTGCCCTCCTTGCCATACTGTTTGCTTCACTGCAGGCCCCCAAAATGGAGCCAGCTGACTACGGCTTGAAATCTCTGATGCTGTGATCCAAAATAAGTCTTCCTTTTCAGCTGTTTATCTCAGGTATTTTGTCACAGTGATGGAAAGTGGCTAACATGCTATTCAAAACAAAGTACAGGACATTTTCTATAACTCCAGAAAGTTTCTTCATGTTCCGTGCCAGTCATTTTTCACATCCTCACAATCATTTTCTGATTTTTAT